GAGTTGTTGCTACTGTCGGATTTGTTGCATTATGATGTAACTGAACGCCGAAAAAATTACTGATCAGGGATGATGAGGCTTGGAGCACTTATTTTAATTTATGAACTTCCAAAACAACAAAAGAAACTCAGGGGAATATCAAGGATTGACTTAATTTCTCTGTCTTAGTATCACTTGCTTAGAATAAGTAACATTGGTACATAAAAAGAAAGATTTTTGACTAGGGAATATTTATTAGAATGTGAGGTAAACTGTAGAATCATCGAAAGTCATGCTAACGTAAACAAAAGGGATAGTAATATTATATATTATTATATATTGTTCAATAAAACATTCTCTATTATTGAAAACCATCTCAAATCGAGTCAAAAACAGTGTGCCATTCAGAAATAAAGATTATGTACGTGAGGTCTCTCAACCAATACTTGGGAAGCTAAATGTACAAAATATAGTGAACTGGGATCAGAAAACTAAGAGAAACACTTAATCGGAGTTGAAAATGTTACTGAGGAAGTTAAGTAGTCAAATAAGCAAACTACTTAAAAGTGAATTTGCAAAAGACCAACATCTAATTCTTTATTATTATATGAATTCAACTTTTATAATTAGATTATAATAAGTTTTAGATACCGAAAGAGACCTGAACCATCCTAGCGACTGATTATTTTCAAAAACTGTCGAAAAGTTTCCTGGTACTCTTTTGTCTCATTTTCTTAGTTGCGTTGTATCTGCAGAATTCATAGTAAGCCCTGTTCTTCGTAAAATTTGGTCTTAGCGCAACTCCAAATCTGGGAAACCTCTTGAGGTAACCATTATCTTCTGACTAAGTCAGAATACAGGATGGTTTAAACAGCGTAGCTTATTCAGTTTACCAGTTAACTGATCAATCATCTGTTCAGTATCACCACTATATCATCAGATTTTAGAGTCAATAACTATAAGTGACTGCAATTTACTGTGGTTTGTTATAACTCTTTCTATTATAATGTGGAGCGAATCTTAGTGGACCGATATCTATGATTACTTTTTTCCGCATATTATTAGCTCATCTTTTAAGCTGTCAAGTTAAGGTATTGTTTTTCTTTTGTAAAACAGTGTTGTAGCCAGTAATGACTATAGTTGTTGTTTGGAAAACATATGCAGGAGATTCCCTACATTTTCGATAGTGGTATACTTTTGTGGTGCAACCTCTGTTTTATATTGGATACCGATTTCAGGCAGTAACGTCATCGTGTCAAACTTTTATATTGTTAGGGTTCTTGAATGGGCTATCTGAGAGTTCGGAATCGTACAATAAGTGTGATTTTTGCACTGTTTCCATCTAATTCAAGTAGGCGAGATGGGATTTCACTGAAGTTATTCATTGTATAAGGTTTCAGTTCTCGTGAGTGTTAGTGAATTAGACTGCAATGAAGCACTTTTCAGCAAACTTTTGAGTATTCTTGATGCTCTGTGCAGCATTCTAGAAAACGAATTTTATCATGTGATGGCAATCACCCATACTGCTTGCTCAATGGTGAACTTGCTTTCACAGCAATTCACCTGTTTCTGTAGAACTAGATATATAGGCTGTTCGTACAGATAGATTACTCGATGTAAGGACCAACAGTTTTCAAGATGGACTGTTATTGATCAGCGCAAATAGATCCCTATCTCTGTCTTACAACATTTAGTTGACAGCGGACACATTTCCACAGGGATCGCATTGATCGAAAATTGTTTGCCTTGCATTACCAAAGCCTTGGCGATACAGAAATCGATTTTAAGCGGTTGGCATGCAAAGAATTTTATATGCGAGAGAAAACTGGTAAGGGACTAAAGATCGTCTTACGAGAAATCATTACAACTTGCACACTGATTCGCTTTCATATCACTACCAAATACCCAACCGAATGTAATTATATCAATGGCTCGCAATTCAAACTTACTTTGCAATGTAAGTTTGTATTCATTTGTGAAAAAGTTAAGGAACTGACTGTTTTTAGCTATGCATTTCTCACGTCTTCCAGTATTAGCTATGTTACTTTTTGTTTCCTATACTAATTGTTTGTGTGTATTTGTGAATAAGCCTCCAAATAGAGTGAATTCACTTTATAACGTAAATGTTCTTTTTACTTTTAGAAAATATGTCATAGAAAAACTTTGAACTGTAACATAAAAAAATAAACGTTACCCTTATTAGACTAGCTATTATCTAAACGTATTCTGGTTTTCTCACTAAGATTATGCACTACAGCTAAAACAGTACAAAACTTCTTCCGATTGTGCTATGTCAGTATATTTTCATGCAGTTCTTTCCAAAAAAACACACAAAGGTCATAAAAATATGCTATTTGATTTTTTGCTTGCCAAAATCATATTTATTTGATGTTCCAAATCCTCTCTAACGTTTTGCTTATATTGGGTAACAATATATGCCCGAAATGAGGCAGTTCACTATTGTGTCATGTTTCCATAGGTTGAAAAATCATGCTCAATAGTAGTTACTGTAATTTTCCGACTTTGTTGTTGATAAATAGCTTGTTAGTTACATTTACTGGGATTATATAGTACGAATTCTTACTATTGAAAGAGCTGTATGCCTAGAAACAGTAGAATACATCTCCGGAATGTTAAACCTGCTAATACCAAAATGTTGAATTGAAATAGTGCAGAATATTTGTAGCTCAGGTGGATGGTCTTAGTTATATTGTGTTCTCCCAGCTGGGTTGTTTAATCGTGTAGAGGGATATCTGGTTAGTTTATTTTTGGTCTGCCGTAGAACCGAGGAAAAACAGGTCCATTCAGTTTCATTCTCCATTTATCTTGCTTTGTTATTTCTCCTGCTTTGAAAAGTTTGTTCAAGGTTTTATTGATCTGATTGTCGAACTTCTGGATAGGTTGGTTTCAAGTAGTTGATATACATTTTTGTCTTTGAGTAATTCCTCTGCTTTCCTGATGTAATCTTCTTCATCCATGACTACTGTAGTGCCTCCCTTGTCTGCTAGAAGTATAACGATGTCTTTCCTATTTTTCAGCCTTTTTAATGTTTTCTGTTCTTGAGTGTTCATGTGAGCGTGATGTCTCATCTGCCTGGTCAGTGGTACGATTGTTTACCGTATTTCTTGTTGAGTGACCTCATTTAATCCTGGTGTTTAAAGTGACGATTCTAATGCTGCAAAAGAATTCTGGTTTTGTGGCATCTCTTGTGTTGTAATTCAATCCTTTTTGAAGAAGAAGTTCTTCAATTTTTGTAGGTGGTTTTTTTGACAAGTTGGCAACACAGTCGTTTGTTTCATCGGTTGAAGGTACTTCTGAGATTTTGAGCAGCTTTTTCCTTAGGACGGTTCTTCGTTGTTGTTTGTATCGTCTGCTTGATTTTTTAATTGCAGTTGTCAACCTCGTCGTGTGTTGTGTCTTGAGTATGCTTTCTAGTTTTGCCTTTTGATTGTTAATCACTGATTGGTATTCCCGGATTCAGTGATGTGCACCAGTGATCATTAATTTTACCACTTGTCTTCTACTTTGTTCAGCTATTTTCTATACCATTCGACAGTTAATTGGGGGTCTATATCTGACACTCTTTGGCAGAACATGCTGATGTAGGCACTCATGGAGAAAGAATATTTGTTGTTTTGTGGAAGCTTGCCTTTTGGAGAAGTTTTCCCATCTTCGAACAACGTGAAGCGTGTTACTCTGATATAATTTTGAAACAATGGAGAATATTTGTAACCGAGCTCAGAGAACACAATACAACCAAAATATGGAATTATTTTCAACATTTTCCATTTGAGTTAGTTTATTAGATGTACTACACCGTGTAACAGTTTAATCTACTGCATTACTTTTTGGACACAATTTATTGTCCATAATCAGATCAAAATAACTCCACAACATTGAGACATTCTTTATATAGTTCTAATTTCCTCACCACCTTTGTGATAAAGGTAGTAGGATTTTTCATATATCCGGAACAGGTGCTGAGTCATTCCTGTTGCATACATTGGGTGTTTATTCGATAAACAAAGATTCAGTTATCAACCTCTCACCCCCATAGCCACTAGGTTAGTTTTATCAACTGTCACTCTAACCCACTCTATTGTGTAATCGTGTGCAGTTGGGTGCACAGTTATAGCCAAGATTTTCTCTGGATTCCTTACCTTACTAGGATTAATTAGTTTTAATCTAGCTAGATTTTTGTGCTTGTATAGCCTAATTGACTCTGGTCGACTACTTTCATCTATGCATTTGACTACGCAATCATTGTAAAGGTTTTGGTAAAGTTATTCTGCCTTATTTGATCAGTAGGATATTTTAAACTAGAAAGCTTATTTCTAAGTGAATTTGTAGGTTTAAATGCCACTATAATCCCAGGCCTGTTAATAAGGGTATCTTTGTCATCAATTAATACCCTCCTAAATTAACTAAAAAGCTTCTCGGTAATCATAAGAAAATTACGACTAATATTAGTAACCCAAGCGTTCAAAATAACAATGATAATAATAGTGGCAATGCTGTGATAAAAGAGTTTGAAACCTATACGTTATTACCTGACAACGAAGGCACGCCACAGACATTACATATTCTCAATAGGGGAGAGATTACAGTGGCATTTAAACCTACAAACTCACTTAGAAATAAGCTTTCTAGTTTAAAATATCCTACTGATCAAATAAGGCAGAATAACTTTACCAAAACCTTTACAATGATTGCGTAGTCAAATGCATAGATGAAAGTAGTCGACCAGAGTCAATTAGGCTATACAAGCACAAAAATCTAGCTAGATTAAAACTAATTAATCCTAGTAAGGTAAGGAATCCAGAGAAAATCTTGGCTATAACTGTGCACCCAACTGCACACGATTACACTGTGTGATACATCTGATAAACCAACTAAATGAAATTGTATTCTACCACAGTACCCAAGTTAACATTTTCAAAATTTTGTTCTAATTTAGTCATTTGGTGAAATGTGTTTTACGAAAGTATTTACACAAGTGATTAATTTCTATATTATTTTAGGTTATGGCACTACTAGTCCAATCACACCATATGGTAAGGCATTTTGCATATTTCTGGTTTGTGCAGGAATTCCAATGAACATGATTCTAGTTTCTGCATTGGCTTCCATATGCATGTCCGTAGTTCGGAAATCACGAAATGCTTTAGTTAATTTTCGTTTTCCTTCAAGGGATTGCAGCGTATTTGTGTACAAAGATAATGAAAATTTAGAAAATTGGGATTCGGATATTGTAAGCAAGGCTGAGAACATTCAGAATGAAAAAACAATCCGAAAAAATGAAGGCAATAAACATGGACTTGCAAAATTATGCTTCAAGCCAAAATGCTGTTGTCAGGACGAATTCAATATTTCAGATGAAATTGATGAGTCACATCGATTTCAAAAATGGTTGTCAGATTGGTCAGTGTTCAACTTAATAATCCTTTTTTATTTTAATTTATGGATATGAACACTGATAGGTGAATCCTTTGTTCTTACCACTCTATATAGATGCCCAGGAAGAGAATACGAGTGACTGATTTATTGGTTAACTTTGCGTATCTCTAATAGGCTGATGCACATTTTTCAGCGTACTAATTTTTTATACACAGTTACAGCAGAAATCATGACAATCAAAAACATAATTTAATTTTGTGAGTTATATAATTTTTAAAGACTAAATACTCATAAATAAGCATTCATAATGGGTTAACTGGAGCATAGATTATGCAACATTTGCACAGCTTCGATGCGCTTCCATCATGAACGTTACGTTGACTACTTACAGGTTTATGATAGCAAGAATAATTATTTTATCATGTTTTTACAGATATCATACGTGTTGGTTTTCGAGACATATGTATAACTGACGGATAATTAGCGTTCGTTGATGACGTTGAGGAATTTACTAGTTTTTCTGGAACGTAGACCTATTTATTAATACTTACATATACCTGCTGTAGTCACAGTTCACTTCAAACAAGCGCATTTCATAAACAAAAATGAGTCATGGAGCAAACGCTAGGATATGGTTGCGTTGAAAGTCTTAAATGAATTCTAGTGTCAAATGGATTTAATCAGCACTGCAGCTTGGAAAAACTTTCCTCCATAGGAATATAAACGGTTGAAACATTGAACATATTCATGTGGATGCTTTTAACATGACTATGAGATGTTATTTGTAAACCCACAGACAAATAATGATTTTTGGTTGTACAATTCAATGAACAATCATTTATCTGCACTTACTGCTAGTCATTAGTTCATTTAAACTATAGTTCTCTTACTATTATTATCTATAGTTTCTCATCCTAGTCTATTATACCAAAAGCTCTACTATTAATTGATATTATGAATACCCCTAAATTTCAAACATTCTATACAAATTTTGAATATGTTTATATGTCTGTTCAGCATATTTTGTTACATGGCCTATTTTTACTGTTGTGATTAAAGTCGATGTTACATGTAAATGTCGATTATTCTAACGAAGTTAACGTTATTATTTTGAGGGTGATTAGGTCAGTAGACATTCCAGTTTGGACATGAAAATTACAAATCAAGCCATCCTTTTTTTCACACTGTTTTAGTGTATACAGAAAATCCGTTAAAAATAAACGAATATGTGCACAAGTTATATGAATGAATGAATGAATAAAGTGCACAAAATGTCAGTTTAACTTGATATAGCATGAAGGTTGGTAAGAATAATTTTCAATAATTTGCAGGATTCTTTTAAGGATTTCACTATATAAAAACAAAAAATAGAAATTTTAAATCACTGGGATTCCAAATTACTGAAGTTAACTGAACTGTTCGCTCTTTATTTAAGCCACTAAACAACCGTTTTAAGCCTACAACAATTATTGTAGCAGTCATATCCTTTTATGCTAAACTGTAATTATATGTCAGGTAAACGACGAGTAAGTTTTAATCCATAACATTAACTAATATGAAAGTATTGTCAAACTAGATTGAAATCAGCAGATATCTTGTTGAAATGGTATTCAAAACACTAACGTTTATGACAAGAAATCTACTGAAATGTCTACTGCATCTAAAATACATCTACACTAGAAAATCAAATCCTAGGCTGACAATTCTCTGTGAAGTTAGAATTAATAATAACACCAAGCCTGACAATGAAACAATCATAATCAAATATCAATGTTCAGAAAACATATAGTAATTTTCAACATCTAGAACACTATCACAAGGTTTGCATATAAGTCTTCAAGTGATAGTAATAATCATGAGCCAAAAAAGAAATTATATTGTAACTACTAATGACTATAGTTAGCAATGTATATCATTTGTGAAGACTGGAAACTTCTTCTACTCAAAAGATGAACTTCATTTATTTTGATAAACCTTTTTCTACCAAATGTAACATCTTTAAAATCTCCTTTGCACCTAACAAACTTTACAGTTGAGAAAATGCCACGGACACATATGAAAGAAAAGTTCATCCATTATATCCAAACATGTAATATTTCATGTTAAATATGTGTTACTGTCACATGAATCTGTGTCTTAGGTATGAAGCTGGACAAGGCATAAATCACTGGAAACTTTATCATCAATAATGTCAACTTCAAAGATATTTTATTTTTAATGTCTTTTAGAATTGAGGAAGGTTCGTTTGTTGCTAGTGAAATTTGGATATTGTAATTCACGAAGCGTTGTGGTCATTTTTACGGATTTAGTTACTTAATTTTCAGAGAAAATAAATGTTTACAGGAAGATGAAAGTTATCTCATTTAATATATTTATCAGTTTTGGCCCAGTGATTTCTATTTCGCATATAACCCAAGAAGAATAAACATAAATAGAGTTTTTTTTTAAATATCACTTAAACTTTATCCAAATATCAATGAGTATCGGTTACTTTGTTCAGTAACTAGTGGAAACTACGACCCAAGTCAAGGGAACTGACAATTTAATGGTGAAATGCAGATAGAATAAGTTATTTTACCGAGGTACATAGAATTAGCAGATCAAGTGAAGCTGAAATATATCAGGACCAAAAACGATTGCAAACAAAGCAGATGAGATTTTTCAGCAGAAATTAGTTTTTCAGCCAACACTAGACGTAAAGAGGATTAAATTTTTAAGCTTACTTCGTAATACAGAACTGAAACTGCATTTGACTATTGTGTTTATCGATCTGAGAAACAGAGTTTTGCTCAAAGGGTTTTTCTTACAGCCACCACAGGAATTTTTCCCTCAGCATGATTTCAGTTAACAAGATGTTTATCTCATAAAACATCCATGAATGTTTCGTCCTGAAAAAGCCTCAAGATACTAATGACAACTTTTTGCATTGAAATGTATCTTTGGATTCTCAGTAGAAGGGATCGTGATTTCTGAATAGTTTCCTTTCATGGATATTATATTTTTTATGAAAACATTTTTATCTTTATGAAGAAATTAGATATCTTAGAAAAACATTATTCTGCAACTATTCATTATCTTCCTTTCCTTTTAGCCATTTAGCCAAGAGGATTGAAAAGCAAAGTTTTCAAACTGCAGAATTTGAAATAAGAAGTCTGAGAGACGATACCATAGGAAAAGAATCATTGTACAAAACTGTTTCATCAGCTTCCTCGTCAACATCACTGCCAGAAAGTAAAATGTATTGTCAGCTGCCTTCATCAAAAAAAAACTGCCAATAACTTGGGAGGATTGCGTGGCAACCTTGAATCTCCCCTATCTTCAAGACATGAGCAATCTCTTGATATGATACCATCTACAGTAAAGCCTGCACAAAAGAGCTTTCAGTTGAAGCATTCTTTGATACCTAATTCATCAGAAACTGATCGACTCAAACCTCCAAGTACGTCTTCTCATTTACAAAAAAAACTTGTGAAGAAGAGTTCTGTGGTGCACATGGATGTGACAAACAGCTACACTAAATCTCAATCTGCAGTAAGTGTGAAAGACAATGAATATCGTGATGTCACTGATGATACTATGCACCAACAAAAGCCAACTAAATCAATCGATACTCAATCCAGTAAATGCAGTGGAAAGCACTCAATTATGAGAAACCTAACTAAATTATCCAAGATTTCTTTTCATGAAAAATTCAGAAAGACGCGAACAGTTCGAGTAATTTCACGGGCATCCTAACTACAGAGAATACATTGGTTGATCGTGCACGTCTGTCATGTATTACTTTCTTACATTTTTTAGTAAGTCAGATTATGATTATGAAAAGTTTGTACTTACCTTTCGCTGAATTCTTAATCTTGCATTTAATTTTTATATGGGAAATTGAAGTTGATCGCATTTCATAATGTGTCTAAGGTTTCGTATCATTGGAAAAAAATTCTTAATAATTTATTTTCAAGCAAATCAGAGAGACTAGATATTTGAATAATGGATGCTTAAATGCTAAACTAATGTTCAGTATGATATAACCAAAGAGTTAGTGAACTTTGATATTTATTCATAAATAGCTTAGATGGAAATTAAGAGAGACTGATTTCAACTGCTGCTATTATCTATTACGGTGAATAAGCTAACTAATCGTTGATGAGACTTATTCAATGGACAGATGGTTGTTAAATAAAAAAACTTATCGAGTACCTATATCAAAATTTAGCAAATAGCTAAATCAGAAAATAAGTACCTACTTAAAACACTTTTAGAAAAGCGTCAAGTAACGAAGAAAAGAAATTGCAAATATTTATCAACTGCATATATAATTTTATGTTATTAAAAATTATGAAAATGGTTTTCTTATATCCTCCTAACTGACTGAATATTTCATTTATGAGAGCTAAAATCAGCAATCTATCAAATTATGGACATATTGGTTTGCGTATTATTATTATTTGTCCCTTGGGTTCCTAGTGGAACTTAGGGCTTCAGTAGCACGCCTACATTGTACTCTGTTTTCTGCAGTCTTTTTAACCTTGCTCCACGACTGCCCAGAAGCTCTCATTCCTTCCTCACATGATCTCCTTCATGTCAACCTCGCCTCGGACGCCCAACTAGTCGTTTCCCACGCGGGTTCCGCTCGAGGGCCTGGTGTGACGCGTGATGTCTCCGAATGTTTTTCTCAATGTATGCCCAATCCATCTCCACTTTCTTCTGTATTTTTGTTGAGCGATAGGTTTTTCGTTGGTTCGTCACTAGCCAGAGTTCCTTGTTGCTTATTCTTATTATTCTGACCATCTGATCTTCAGTATCGAGCGTAGGCAGCTGTTGATGAATGTCTGTTGGAAATGCTTTTCGTGACGCGCCAAGTTTCTGGACCATACAGCAGCACTGACTGACTGAATTAGTGTTGAAAATCCGGATCTTGTTTCGCATACTGAATAGATTGCAGTAGATATCTAAACTGACTTCAGAATAATGAAAGTCTGTCTTGCTTTTCCGATCCTGGCTTTGACATCCTTGTCTGTGCCACCGCCACCTGTAGTTGAAACAATGCTGCCTAAGCAGAGAGGTAGGTGAAAGAGACAACTTCTTTTAGGTTCCTCCCGCTGATGATGATTATTGGTGCTTGTTTTTGTCGGTTGGGTATCTTCATCACCTCTGTCTTCTCTGCGTTCACTTGAAGTCCCGTTTTCGCTGTCTCTTCTGTCAACTTGTTAGTTTTTGCCTGTAGTTCTTCGTATCTGTGCGATATTAGACGCAAATTATCGGCAAAAATCGGTTTGCGTACTTTATTATTAAACCAACTAACATAGTTGTTTTCCTGATGTTCGATTTGTTGGTTATCAATCTCTTATGGCTAAGCTAACTTCACAAAAACATGGCGAGTAAATCCACTAAATACATTCACACTGAGTCTACTGGGTATCAAGTACAATATAATATATTCTATGGAATCCATTGCCTAGGATGTAAGAATCAACACACTGATCACTCCGGATAGCTCTAAGTTTAGGCATCAGTCAGTATTCAGACAAGGCAGTAGTTCATAGATAATTTCGATGTGTATTAGGGATCAGATTCACAAATTTAACTTGGATAGCTTCAAAATTCTACAAACTTCAAACTCAAAAGTTACCGAAGAACTCCCTGTATTGATGGCACTTAAATGAAATGTCTGTCAACTGACATACAGATACGAATTCTATCTTTAAGTTACTTAACATGCACTCACCGTATTCTGAACAAGCGTCTTAATACCCTGGTCTCCTTCGTGACACAACTGGTAGTTAAAATTTTTACGCCTGTTGTCGAAATATCAAAAATCAAACTATCATAACTTCACTATTTAACTGTAAAATGTATCTGCTGCTGTAAAACCTTTTCCATATAACACAAGTCCCATAGATTTACGATGTAGTCTTAGTACCGTAGGCACAAATTTGCATGCACCTATAGATATGTTGCTTCTTTATTGTATGAAAAATTTCAAATAAAAAATGGCAACATACATGCCTTTAAAAAGTAGTACAGAGTCTATATAATTAGTCATGAGTGAACGTGACCTGTGAGATTGGAGTGTTGTTTGATTGAACTTGATGTGAAGATTTGCTTCAGGTTTTCAAATATACTCGTGTTAAATTACTAACATAGGGGCTTAATAGCACAGTCAAATTCACTAACTTCGTAATTTTTAATTTTCAGTAGAATGAACATTTGATGTCAGTTTTAGAAAAAATTAGAGTACAGCTGTACTAATTTTAATATAATGCTGAATGCATATGTATCAATTTAAATTGCTAAGTAGAACTTTAGAAAGCTTTACGGTGATGATTTAGCTTAGGTAAATACAATGCTCCAAAGACGGTAACTCAAAGTTTAGTTTCGTTAAGCTGAGACTCAAGTTCTATGATGAAAAATACAAATGTAGACGTATATACTTGGCTCCATTTACTTTCAGGTACCATGGCTGGGTCACAATCCAGCGGTCAACATTTTCATACCTCTGTCAGTTTGCGATATAGCAAGACCTTCATTCAGTGAATTGTGATACTACTAGGCTACCCAGGCCGAAGTAGGATTGCAGTTACTACTTTCATCGCATTTGTCAACAGACTCATTAAATGGGCTTCTCTGTCTGCTGAGGCAATAATTTTAAAAAATGAATTTTGACTGACTTTATTTTGTGGAACCTTGTATTATCTATTACACTAAATGTTTGCATTTTCAAGCATCTAATGGAAGGTGTTTGTAAAACATGTATGCCACCACACACTGTTGGTTCCTTACTTTAAAATACACTTGCGTATTTTCCCTTATATTCTATCACGGAATATGTAATGAAGTCTGTAGAATATTAAGCTTAGGAGCTATAATGCACGCTTTTGAATTCAATCAATCTTATGTATTCACCTTAATGGCTCGCAGTAAAATCCAGAAAGTGAATTTCGTTCTATTGGGATTCAGCTGGACGTACGAGAAATTACAAGTATCAAACAGCAACAAATAATATCCGTTGCACAAGTGGTGGCTCTCGTGACCCAGTGGCCTAATGAATAACACTTTGGTCTATGAAGATATGTCCACTGGGTTAGAGTCTCAATGGGAACAATATTACTCACTGGGGCGCAGGTACATCAAGCTGACGAGTCGTAAATAGGATCAAACCAGTGTCTTGACTTCCACTGTGAGTCACCAAGACGAATATGACATTACGGATATCCGGCAATATTGAGGTATCCGCACAGAAGCCCATCTACCGACAGAGATCGAGCAGTTCGACACTGTGTAACCACGGTAAATTACAAGTATCAAACAACAGTCAGTGAATCCTGCTTTCTATACTTTTTCTTTTGATAACCTTTTTTGTTAATTTACTAACACCAGGCTCTGTTTACCATCTCTAGTTGCATCGATGACTGAAATACTGAACTCCAATTCTTGAAATGGTGACTTGTGCGTGAGGCCAGACATCGCAAAAGCATTTATTTATACTCCTTCAGATATAGGTAAACCAAAAAGACTCTTCCAATCAATTTACTGAAATTTGGACACCATTAAAACAGGCAGATGGCACTACTGGTATTGACTGAGACTTTTTTGATAAAAATGCTATTTTCTCCAGTTGCTCTGGTAAATGACCATGAGAAAAACATCTGCCAAATTTGATGCAAATTCAACTGTGTCAAGCTTAAGTATCCAACAAAATTAAGGGTTTAAAAACTTGTCAGTTTTTATGATCAATACATCACTTTCCTGATACTCTAGTTGTCTTCCATGAATTTAAAATCGCGGAAATTTTCACAGTTGAAATTATTACAACTAGTGGTTTATGATTAACTATCCAGTAAGTTTAACTGTCTTCCCATTACTTTTATTAGCCTACTTTTGGTTTTTTTTCTTGGCTTTATGCAGCAGTTTTCAGTTCCACCCATTCTTCAGATCTCAGTTATTCTGTTTTTAGAGATTATCTTTTGCAGGACTAATTCGGAATGAAGCATTCTATGTCCAAAGAACTAAATCGAACCACGTCGTTCAAGAAAATGGTTCATACAGTTTTAGTATCTCAGTAGGCTACGTATCTTGCTAGGCTGACCAAGAATGTGCTTTTTTTCTGCTTTTGTAGCTGGTCTTCTGGTCACATCTACAAAATGCTTTTGACCGTTGGAAGGTACAAGCTTCAAATAAGTTCAGCCATTCTCAAAATTACTCAGGATCAAACAGTGGCATATTTTGTGACTCGCTTTCTTATAGGACTGTTGTGATTTGTAAATTAAAAGATACCTGACTGTTCTGACAAATAAAAAAGAAACTATTTTTGGGATGAGAATTTAAATTTCTCTGTTTATCGGAACTGAGTTAAACAACCTCAATAATTTTAGGTTGGAACTCATAATGAACTGATACCAACTGGAGGGACATTTGAAACCTAGGAGAACTGGACATATGTTTGTCCTAGTATGCGATTCCTTAGCAGTGTGCACCCATTATCTAACCTAAAGTCAATTAACGAATCTCCGCAAGCCTCCAGATAGAATGTCAATAAATGTTTTTATTTTGCAAACACCTTCTTAGATCAAATGGTCTTGAATTAGAATAGAATTTCACCTCTTTGTTTATGAGCTTCATTCCAGCAAGGAGCGCTTTAAATTTGAGCATATCTTAGAACAGAAAATCGTAAAGCTTAATAAAAAAAGTCTCTCGGAAAACGTTTATATAAACTTTTATTGAGATATAGTAAAACAAGTCTACAAGCCTTCAATATTCTGCAGTGATAATTAAAGGGAAGCAACAATAATCTAGACTGGTAGGAAAAAATACTGCCATAAATTAGCGTACTAAAATTTTTAGTTATATCTACAGAAGTATCGTACATTTTAAAATGAATCAATTTATTATAAACTTATTCATGGTGAATTGTTACACAACGATAATTTTTCAAATTCTGTTAGTATATAGACAAGAACTATTGCCCGTGATCACATTAATTGTTGAAATTTCTTGTCTCCAGTAATTTCAATTCAAATCATTACAATCACATACGACAACAACATCAATCCCACTTATTTTAAAATTCTCGATCTCACTAATATCAAATAATGTAAAGTAACAGAAACCAAATAAGAGAACCGTCATTTTTTCTCATGATCATGAGAGGTAAATGATGCTCGGTACGTCATCAAGTAAATACTACTGAATCAATGTGTACTTCATTCAATATTCATATCCGTAGTGGAATTTTACTACTATTCTTGGAAAATGAAGCAGTACACTTTATACAGAGGGAAACACTCAACTTCATTAAGTACTAGAATTGATGTTTCTTAAGGCACTTTTGTTTCCTCTTCTATTTCTTTTCCTCTGTGACTTCCCTCTCAGGGATGCAATCACTTTGTCAAGTACACTGATCATGAACTTCCCACTAAAGTCTCCTCTTGAAATTGTTCTCAACTAAGTTATTTGTTATGAAACATTGAACAACGCTCCTTCTTGAGAAGTATTATATATTAAACTTTCTAGAGTATCAAATTATTAATTCTAAATTCTAATTAAAAACACTCTTACTACTACTACTACTACTTTACTACCGAGATTTTCTTTGAAGGTTGGCTATGTATTACAGAATATCTGTAGAATGTCAACAACTGGTAGATTTTTATTCTATTGGGCAATGAGAATCATCTTCATTCAGAGTTTTCTCATCCTCTATATTCAAAAGCAAGACTTTATGTGCACACAACTAAACAAATTATGAAAATGTCTGATATCAGTAATCGTTTCGTTTAAAAAACTTTTATATGGAGTAAATTGTTTTTGTTTATTTGTTATTGTTGAGGTATTACATGCTAGAAATACTGTTAAGCATACCAATGTTTTGTTCCGAATGAAGCTAGTGTTATTACTAGCCACTTCGAATAGAGCCCCATTAATTAGCAGAACTGTTGCTAAATATTTGATAAACCTTAGGATTAAGACGAGAATAATTAGTTATTTTGTGGCCTCTGGTGTTTGCTTACTTCGTTAAACTTGCTTTCTTTTTCATTTAGTTGTCGAGGAGTGATCTTGCTCTAACCACCAAAGTTCGATTTTCACAACTTCGGTATCGTCAAGGTCATCATGGCATATTTCATATACGCTTATGTCATTTCTTCGTGCTCTTTTGGTTAGTAGTTATGTTCACAATATTTACACCTGCAGTTATATTTTTTTACTTAGAACATAACTGGACCTACTTAGATGCAGTTTATTTCTGTGTCATCTCGCTTAGTTCAGTTGGCTTAGGTGATCTAGTACCGAGTCAAGATGGGAAAAGTAATACTCCAAACTACCTGTCACAGTCTTATGTGAAAAATATTTATAAAATAATGACCGCAGGTAGGCCTAAAATATTTTTCGAACAGTTATTACCGTTATTCGCATTGCTGACATTTGTTAATTGAGTTTTACCTTTTGTATCTATATTTCCCAATGTATATGGTTACTTTGTTCTAACAAAAAAGTGTTTCTCATCTTATTCCATGCTAGTTCTGTCTTCATTCTGGACTGTTTACAGCTGAGGGAAGTCATGAAATAAATGTGATATCAACTTATTCTGCATAGCTTGTTCTTCTTGCTTTGATGAAAACTGTCGACTAATTCTTGCACACTAAAATACCTCATGAAGTGTTTTGATGCCTCTCAGAAACGAATTTCTTTTCACACTAAACTACCTTATTGAAAGAATCTGTGTATATCTCCTCTCATATTCTTTGTTAAATCCAAGCTAGCATGGAGAATGACTTACATTTCTAAATAATCTTTGTTGGGCTTTCAGAGTCGTGTAGTAATAACTTAACCTCTCTAATTCTGCCTATATGTGTTATTCTAAAGAAGTTTTAAGTTCAACGCGATTGATCAGCTTAATCCCACGCATTAACATCTTTATGTTGATTAAACATCAATATGGCTAATTGATAGTGAGTGAAATCCAAAATTGGTTTCACTTGTGTTATCTGTTTATCAGTCCTTTTGTCCATAGAAAATTGATAAGTTTAAGAATACCACAAAAGTAAAAACTACACGTTCAACCGAAAAATAACCATCGTAATGTAGTAGTTTAGTAGGTAACACTCTGAGAGTCGAAGCCTTGAGTGCAGTGCTCGAGTCTCAGTGAGAACAATTCACTCATTGGGAAGCAGATATCTACAACTAAAGAGTCATAAATAGTACGACATATGCGTTCTGAATTTCACTGCTCATTACAATCCACTACTACGATCACAGACGCACCTTAAAAAAACTAAGGTGAATGTTATCTCAGACAAAAACCTGGTTAGGTTTGAAGCATTTTAATAAATAAGACGACTGATCTGGTATGAAGATACTGAATTACTTTGCAGACTCCAATGTTCATACCTAAAAACTGTCTGCGTTAGTTATTAAAAACGATAACAATAGTACAGTATATATATATATATATATATATATATATATCCACTACTTTATTCCAATAAACTCACAGTAGGACAGTTTCTCGTTTTATATGACAAAATATTCGGAGTCAGTTCACCTAGTCTACTGAATGCGTCAAAGAGTAAACATCCAGATAAAACTTATTTTAATCCAAAGTCGACACAGACTATGTTGTTAAACCTTCATATCGTTCGAAAAGCAAATAAATATATTTTGATAAAAGTGAGATTATTTTAAGACGGTGAAACGTATGTATGTGAATGAAAAATATAAGAACTTTTAGGAATTTTTATGGGATTCAGTTCAAAATAATTATGTAGATGATAAAATGTTTCATGTAATACTTGATAGTTAGAAACAATTATCTTTTACTGAAATTTGGCAGCTGTTTCAACTTTACGGTTTCAGTGCCACAAACCTTTATCAACCTCATTCAATAGCTATATTCCATGTGATGCTACATGCCAAATGATTCACAATGGAAGGTCCAGTAACGCCTTTGAAGTGAAGACAGAGGACAGGAGTAAGACAAGGTTGCCACCTACTACCAGCGATGATCTTCCTGACTGGACTGGATCATACAACAGACAACTGTGAAGAGTGAGGAGAGGGGTATACGCTGGCTGGACCGATGAAAAGAACAAGAATTGGATTTTGCGATGATTATTTATGTCTAATGTCTTGTTGCGCGAACTCGAAGATCTACAGGCGAAAACCAACAAGTTGACAGAAGAGGCGAGGTGATGAAGATACCTAAACAACAACAACAACAAGCACCAATCACCATCCACAGGAGAAATGTAAAGGAAGTTGTCTCTTTCACTTACCTCTCTGAAATCAGTGTGGAGATCTACTGCACTGCACTGCACTGCACTCAGCATAAAGTGGGAACAAGATCCGGATTTTCAACACTAATTCAGTCAAGTCAGTGCTTCTTTATGGTTGAGAGACTTGGCGCGTTACGAATGCATTTTCAACAAACTGAAGACAAATATCATCAGAAACTGCTGCCTACGCTCACTCGATACTGAAGATCAGATAGTCAGAATAATAAGAATAAGCAACAGGGATCTCTAGTCGTGCAACGAACCAATCGAAAATTCATCTCCCAACAAATATGCAAAAAAAGTGGGGATGGATTGGATTCGACTGGACATACACAGAGAAGACCATTTGGGGACATGACGCGCCAGGCCAGGCCGTAGAGTGGAACCCGCATGGGAAACGACGAGTTGGGAGTCTGAAGCGAGGGTGACATGAAGGAGATTGTGTGAGGAAGAAATGAAAGTTTATTGGCAGTGGTGGAGTCAGGTTAAAAGACTGTGGAGGACAGACTGAATTGAAGACATGCTACTGAAGCCATATGTTCCACTAGGAACCTAAAGGACTAATAATAATAATGACAGTAATAATAATAATGATTTCTTTTATCCAAAGCAAATGACAGCAAAATCAGTGAATTTTGTAAGAATTAGTAGTAGTAAATCAATTTTAAAATGAACTTGATATTTTCCACATATGGAATGCATATGAATGAACACAAAATAGCTGATTTGAGAAGAAATGGTTATGAAGATTTGTGAGTGAATGATGATATGTGCGTAGAATTGAGTAGATAAAAAGAAGAAACTTTTGATGAAAGCCATTTCAAAAGCCATAACACCCGAAGAAATTATCTCATTTAATAATTAATTTGAAGGTAATTGGTGGCTGATTTTAATGTAAATTTTCTTGAAAGCCTAATTGAAAGTCCTGACCTGTAAAGTCTATCAACTCAGGTTCAAGAACAGATGCACTCTGAAGGAATTCATGTAACAGCCATACTATTTATTGAATTGGTCTAGGTTAAAAATACCAATGTTAAGTAGCAAAATCTGATGGTTCTGGATTTCATCTTTTTTTGGTAATTATTGGTGTACTCTGCTGAAGAGTCCCGAGATAGGATGAAGCAGCCGTCCAGTAATTACTAGTTTAAAGTGGTCTCTGATTTTATGTAATTCCATGATAGAAACTACCTGAGACTTAATTAGTCAAATAGGCTGTACAAATGAGTAGATTGAAAAAGAAGGAATCTCATGATCTTCAAAACTTTAAAGGATGATAAGCGCAAGTAGTTAGAATTTAACAGAAAGCATATTTAAAGTAGCAGAATGCTTCAATTTCTGTCGTCTTCAGATTGTTTTAACAAAATGATATTTTGATGTTTAAAATATGGTACTTACTGATGAAAACTTTGAGAAGAAGATAAGATAGAAGTCTTTCGTCTGTTGGTTGAAACATTTTCGTTAACCTTATTGGGAATAAAAGATATTCACTAATTCCATTGTTTTTCGTTCTCTTTCAGTTTACTTAGTACTGGGAACCACACTAGTTACGGTTTTAGTGCGGAGTTTTCGAGAGATTATTGACTACGAATTCACGAATGTCACCTGCACATTAGAAGAAAACAACCAAAATGAATTTAAAAGCCCAAGCCCAGAGAGACACTTTGAAGACACTTTGGTTTCCACACCGAATTCCATTGATAGACAAATTCGTATAGATAATGGCTGAATAGTCAATTTACATTGTAGTCAAAATTATTATACAATTTCTGTGTGTTTTCATGATGTATATAATACGTTTTCTTGTGAATAGTTTGAAATAAACAAATATGGTCATTCAAACCTTAAAAATTTACCAATATGTAAATTATTCTTGGTTACATGAACGCTCGTTGAAGTCAAACACCAAAACAGATCAGAAAAGAAGATTCAAAATTTTCATAACATCTGATAACAAAATGGAATTTAAACATCTGTTATAATTAATACATTGTAAATCAGTAAAGATTGTAAAGGTTTTCCTGAACTTTTACATTGTCAGACAGAATTATTAACGGAAATCAGTAAGTATACAAGAGTGTAACGTTTGTTATTTCTAAATGCGGTTGTGCATTTTGCTTCTGGCCAAAGCATCTTACTTAAGATAACGTCTGAATCTAAGGGACTGCAAAAAGGATGAGTCCATTGACTCTGATCGAACAAATTCAGCGCTGGATACAGATAATGTCAGTATCAAATGGATAGTCAAGGATTCAGCTGCAGTCATAAATTCTATTTTTAGCACTAGATACTGGTTTAGACCACTTTCATACAGATATTGTGGGGTCTCTACTGGAATCTAACCGATACATTCATCTTTTCAGCTCGGTGGAACATTTCAAGAGGTGTTCAAAGGCAGTACCTAATAAACACAATTACTTCTAAATCCATCACTCCCTTTTCCGCGAGCTTGAGATGATCATTTTCGACAACGACTGATTGTTGGTGGAAATTCAAGTGTAGGTAATTTCTCTCTTCCATTGTATTCTTAGGCTACATAAGATTATAAATGACAAACTACCATCCAAAAGTAAGAAGTAATGTAGAACACACTCATAGACATATAAGGCTGCCTTTTATTCCATAAACGCCCAGTCTTACTGACTGTCTGAAATGCGTTGAAAGCTGACTTCTGATAAACCTTCGCAGGACTCGTTTATGGAATTACTCTTCAACTACCAGTTAAGTGTGTTTTATGGTCAACCTTAATATCTGTTGTCGATAGAATGTCTTACATAACTAGGCTTACGAACACAATGAGTTCAGTTAGACCAATTCCTGTTCAGCCTCCGAAGATCAATGTCTTCATTCATACCTTAGTCCATAATACATCACAAATTTTTATTCCTCGTGATGCCTTTCTTTGACCTACTGAATCGGCTTATGATGTCACTCAAATCCATCAAGCTACACGATAATTTTTATGTAATCTAATAAAACAGTCGTGACGATACTGTCATTAACAAACGTTTGAAACCAGATTCTCCAAAAGTAACCCCATCGTAACTGACGATTTTCTGCACAACAGCCAGCCGGTAGAAGATTTGCTCATTGAATTTCGTGACGACCAGTCTAGCAATATGGAGATATAACTATCTTCACACAAAACGTATGTTCAGGTCAAACGATCATGTCCCCGGAGTATATAAAATCATACTCAACAGTTTAGTATGGGTAAATATGTCTGCTGTTTTTGATTTCATCATGGAACCGTTTCTAATGAGAGTGAAATGTTTTTCGTGACTTTTACCATCGTAGTGTCAACGTTTTGCCACAAGCTTGTCATGTATCTTTAAAAACAGAAAAGAAAAGGAAACTGAGTGTCAAACTTTTCTTTGGATGTTTTTTAACAAATGAAACTTACACATGTTTCAGATTTTTGTTGTCATAAAACTTTGTCGTAGTATCGAAAACTGTTGCTTTTCTGTGAGTGCAGTGGGAGGTGGATTGGAAGTTGAAAAACAGTGGACATCAAGATCGACCTATTTTTCAATTTCTGGTTTGTCTTTTTTAATGGCATGACACCTTGAATTAGGTTTAGGTAACCAGTGGCCACCCTTCCAGTGATCCCATTGGGATGATTTTACTGGTGGTGAAGTCAATTGTGTTTTACTTCTGATTGGTATCATCTTCTAGTTCTCATGAACCAGATAACGAAGGTTGAGGGGAAGCGGCAAGTGATTTTTGAAAATCAGCATCTTAGGATTCGATGAAATTCAGAGTCGATGTTGACTTCCGTGGCCTCATCTGACTGTTTAAGCTTAAGACGCACGGCTAGGAATCCACGTCGCTGGACTGGTAATGTTACATTGCACTACTGGTATGTGAACCTTCAGCTGTTAAGTGGAGGCGCATGACATATGGGCTCCCGCGCGGATGCCTCGATATTGCCTGTATTTGAATTATGTATCATTGATGGGTGCTGGATAACAGTGGAATCCACGATGAGCATTCCACGCCATCTACAATTTGTCGGTTGGATGTTCCTGCCTCCCAGTTAGCAACGTTTACCCTACCGGAACTCGAAGTTGGGACGCTCTGGCTTTTGAAGCGATTGGTCCCAAGTTCGAGTCCTGGCGGTTACAGCATCACTTGCTGAGACGTAGGACCATCCAGTTGACGAGTCCCAAACGGGACAAGACGTGCTCCCTGAGCTCCACTTCTAGCCCCTATCCACCATTAAAGGGAAGAGTTTCAGCCCTTTAAGTCAATCTTTGCAGGTCAGGTCAGCCACCGCAGGAATCATTCGAGTGGCTGCTCTCTGAACGCTTTCCAGAAGGTCTGAGTCACCTTTCAGACAATATTTGCCACTTACTTACGGTTTCCTAGTCCAGACCTAGCTAAGGATATGTAAAAGATGGTGTGCATATCACCACTTATTTTCGTAATGTTTTGCGTAATCCCCAAGGTATCTTAAAACTCCAAGCTGCTGCCAGTCGCCAGTGTACCGTGGTTTTCAAATAATAACTCAGTGTGTGTCTCGGATCACTGTGGGCCAGTACTGAGCCCAGCCAATATCGTAGGTGTTGCTGCGTGTGTGCCCCATGTGCATGCTCACACATTTACCTGCATTGATAGGTACGATCTATTTCTCTGACCAAGTAAGCAAGTCATTTAGGTCTACTTGGGACACACGTACATCTTCGTCATCCCCAATTTCTCGCCAGATTTTCATATCATCGTAGAGAACCTTTCGGGGTTTTGCGCCATTAAGCAGCTGATTTATGTATCGGAGAAATAGCAGGAGATCCAGAACTGACCGTGCAGCACTTTACTTTCTATCGACTTCATAATGAGAGAGTTGAGAATCGATCCTTACTCTTTGGCTTTTCCCAACAAGTAACTGTCCTATCCACGCAAGTGGAATGCCAGTGATTCCGAAATTTTCCAGTTCCCGAGCAACCTTGAATGAGGCGCCCTACCGAACGTCTTACTTAAGTCTATGAAAACGACGTATACAGCTGTCCGTCCAATCATCCCAACTTAACCTGAATGTAAAATGGTTCGTCAAGCAATAGAAATTTCCGCGAAAGTTATGCTGCGAACAAGACACCAAGTGAACTTTAGTGACTTTCTTAACTATTTTTCCTGTGATTTTCTTACAATAACAGCCAAGCTTATCAGTCCTTAATTTGATGAATGCCGTCTACAGCCTGCCTTGTGGGTAGATGTAACCATGAAATCCTTCTGGTCATAGTGAAATGTACATTCACTGTGGGAATTTCTAACTAAAGCAGTCAATGAACCGACTGCATAAATTGTAGACTGCCTAAGGAGCCTTCGACACTGTCTATGTTGTCCCCTTGAGTTTTCGGTATCAAGGATATCTAATGTTTTGAATACATCACTCTAGTCTGTGTCTACAGAGTTCATTCTGTTTGACGCCTTTACTAGTAGTTGTTGGCTAGTATCCACAAAAGGCTTCTGTGCAAAGAACTCAGCGGAATATTAGGCCGTAGTCTCGGCCCTTTGCTTATCATCGTAAATGAAACAGTCCTTTTTGGTCTCTTTGATTACGGCTCGTATGCCACACTATGACTCGTTCATATAGTCCATGTGAGAAAATATCCTCTTAAGGTGTTGCGGTGCAGCATGAATAGGTCGTGTTTCAAAGTATGTTTTAAACCGGCGATCACCAGTGATACATTTGTTCCAGGCTTCTTTATCGTGTTTATTCAACTCAGAAGTACCGAGATGGGTGCCAAGGCTGCAACAGGTAGCAAGATTCGAATTTCGCTGCGTGCCTGCGGAGGACATTTCCGCCCCTTTGAGAAGTTGAATGACCCTGGCATAAAACTGTTTGAAAGAGCACAATGCAGCCTCATCTGAGGCTTCTAAGTTGACTCCCAAGTCTCCCGAGGATGCCGCTGAGTCACCCAGTCAACATTTTCCCCTGGCAAATAAGCCAACGTTAGGCCGCTCCCTTCAAAAAGCATCGGTCCGAACGTACGGCTAATCCTGGGGTCTCATTACATCTCCTTTAAATCTGGCTGTACGTTTCTGGGCCACACATTGGCCCCACGTTTAGCATATTTAGCTTTACATCTGGCCCTGGGATTTTATAATGGCCTGGTGTCTGGCCATCGTACTGATCGTCAGCCCCACAACCAGCCTCATTGGCCTTACCTTTGACCCAGGTAAAACAGAGGCCTAATGCTCTACGTGCGTTAAAACATGGCACCGCAACAGATTCATGGCCCAACATTACCCTGTTTGGCCCTATGAGACTGTCCACCGCATGATGAAGGGCCAGATATGGTGCACATGGGGCACAACGTCGGACCGCCACTTCAGTCAAGGGGAAAGACTTGGTTGTATGGCTAACAGTCAACACGTGGGGCTTGACATCGAGCCTTTTTAGGCACTTAAGGTCAAACAGAGTCAAATGTGCCAAGCCCGGAACCAAATCCAGGGTCAAAAACAATCAGGCCGAACGTGGGGAAAACACTTCGAAACGCTACGCCTGGCCCGACTGTTCCTACTTTTGTATTAGCCCCATGCCTGGCACAGTTGTTCCTACATCTGGCCGGGCGTACTGACCGTTAGCCTTACAAGCAACTCCATGTGCCTGACCAAAACGGTGACTCAACGTCTGAACACACGCGCACCATACCTGGACCATCACTAGATTCACTGCAGAAAGTATAGACTTGACCTAACTTGAGCGGTGAAAGTTTCGGCTGGGTGACACGCAAACGAACTTACTCTGAACGCTGGTCAGAACATTAGCCACTACAACAGCAATACCGCGAACACGGCAAGACAACAAAAGAAGATGGACCATAGATAGTCAAAATGGATGAGAGGGATACTAAATACATACGCTGAAAACACCAAATTCGCAGATGTTATGGAAAAGTTAGCACTAACGGGAGTTCAGGCCTCAGAAGCGAAATCTGGCAACGGCGCCGAGAGGGTATGCAGACGATGCCAAGGAATTGTTTTGGGTTTGCAGGTGAAAATCAAGCTAAGGTACGATTCAAATTGTGACATGCGCAGAATAATCGGTTTCTCAAGAAGATGCAAAGTGCCTTATGAAACTTTCCTCACCTCTACGACAGAATACCTATTCTAGAGCTAATGGAACAAGCCGGCAACCGAATCTGCTCTGTTCTGTATCTTGCTGTATGAGTACTAAAGATACTGACGTTTCCTCTGGCCTATGATCAGCCGAAATGCGTAACACCTCCTCCGTTAGTCCATGTCAGTCAAGCGACGGTGTGTTGGAGTTCCCTACAACACAGCATCTTCAGTTTTCCGTCCGAATAATCTGTTTATTCAAAAGGAATTCTTCTGCTTCACATGCAGTACTTCCACATACTACGGTTAGATTGACATCCTTCCCCCTGCACTTTAGTCGGTAATGTAGCATTTGGAGCGTCCTGCTTTCGTGTGTAACCGTTTTTATTGCTCCTCTATTCGGATTTTTAACCTAAACTATGATACCGTCAGCTGCTTGCCAACTTATTATTTCTAAAAGGAGCGCGTCCTCATGCATGTGTTTCACTTCGACTGATCTCAGAATAAGACCACATTTCCCGGATCGCGGTGATACTTAATCTTTCTATGCCCTTCAAATAACTAAGTTTAGTCCGCCCGTGCTGGGAAATACATGCACTTTTGATCAAGGGGATAAAACCACTTGGATGAGTTTTCGTTAAAACCTGTCCACGCAAAAACACACCACTTTTAAATCTTTCTGCCCCGCTGTCAACCTACAGTCCAGTTCTTCCTCTGATTCTCGTTCTTCAATTCGTTTCACAGGGTGCGAATCCTTATGTGCAAACAAACCAGTTCCTTGGAGTCTGTGAACGTTCTTCAGGTAGTGATCCCTATCCTGCGTTGATTTGGTCGTGACTAAGTTTTTAAACCTGTTTTTGCGAGGACTTGTCCCTTTTTGCCCACTCTGTGTATGCTGAGTAGCGCCACCCTGCCATGTCTTGCAGCAGCAGCCTGTTTACCGAATTTCGCACCTCACACAGGCCATGTTCCAAACGTGTACGTGGTTCCGAGCCCTCACTTTCTCCCGCCTTATGGAAGATTACAGACCTCCCAGGGAGCTCCAGTTAGTTTTTGGTGTGTGAAGTGTTCACATTTAGTTCTACAACCGTTACTGGCTTTTTCAGGCATCATTTGGTCTTCATCAGTTGCTATTTCCGCAGCCATGTGTGAAAGGCTGACGAATGGCTTGTTCGGTAACCCTGACACCAACAGCTGCAGAACGGATTTTCATCTCCCCGTGTATAGCTTTTGTCACTTAATAAGTCACCGAATCAAATAAGATCTGCGGCCTGTGTAGCTCTCTAGGCGGCATTTAGTTTCCTTGTCATAAGTTCTCACCTTTTCCGTGAAAATAAACATCTTCGGTGTTTTTAATGCACATTTTATTCAGTTGTACAGTCTTTGAGATGTTTTCTGATACTGGGTCGTCGTTTATCTGTGTGCAGAGTACAGACTACGCTTCATCTTAGGTGGAAAGTAAGTGCATTTATTTACAAAGAAAGACGTTCTTAAATCACCAAGCACAATTTGATGGAATGCGTAATCCTGGTGCCCTTCGACTCTCTGATAGCGCATGATCCCCTGTATGTTCCATATGGAACCGGGAATATTTTCACCCACCAGCTCTGTGACCGTCAAACCATCAGAGAACTTGCGAACCACGATCGATATTTCCTTCCACGTACCCACGAGTTCGCTGATGATCTACCCGACGTCTCCACTTTTTCAGAGACAGGTTTCGATCGAGCTTCTGTGCATATACGTGTTAAATCCCGAGATATCCCAAGAACAGGTGTTACCATTCCTTTTAGTGCGTATGGATTCTTTTGGATGCCTTTTGAACTTGTAGACACCTTCCAGACATTTTGTTTCGTATGTCAGGCCCCCGTGGAGTCCCGGTTGTACGTGCTCTCATCTCCGACTTACCCGTCAATGTTTTAGACGAGACAAAACACATGGATCAAGCAAAGGTCGCGCTTGAAAGAACCAACTGATATGGGATAATGACTTATCTCGAGAAATCTGAATGTGGAATAACCCTTCTGAAATCCTTAGTAAACTTAATCAAAAAAAACCGGAGAGACCAGTTTTAGACAGAGCGCAAGTTTTAGGAGACTTCCCTCCACCAGACTCGTGAGATGGTCTATACCATCTTCGGAAGCCAGCAAACTTTCACCGTCGCTTCATTACGAACTGTGACGCCGATCTGCAGCCATTACCTAATCTTTTACGTGGACATTCATGGTCCATTCGGTTTTAGCTATCTACTTACATGCAGAGATGTGGTAACTCACTGTCCTGTCGCTATTCCATCGCTAGACATAGCTGAAAAAGCTGTCAGGGTGCTATTCAGCCATCGCATATGCAACTTTAATGTCTGCTTAGCCACCACCACTGGCAGAGATACACATTTTCAAAGTTACTTGTTCCAGCAGCTAACTGGCCTGTTTGGCAGCACACGCATATGGACATTGAAATGTCATTCTATTGCTAATCGTTTGGTCGAACGCTTGCATGGACATTTCAAGGCAGGAATGTGGCTACTTTGACTGAACGCCCAAACCCCCTTGGCACCACTTGGAATGGGAGGCCCTTTAGACTGAAGTATTGGTTACAACGTTAAGCGATTAGTCAGCTGAACAACACTATGGATACAGACAGAATTTTTTGCTGCATGATCCAGTTACATTCGATATGGTTAACGAGATCAGATTTCTAAAACCACGTATGGACATGTTAAAAATGTAACACGCACTACTGCAAAGCTTCCGTCATTCGTCACACGGCTGATTTACCGTAGTCACGCGTTCGTCAGAAGAGTTATCGCACAACGACCAATACAGTTATTCTAGGGCTTCTGATATCGATTCTCAAGAGGAAGCGATCTAGTCGTCAGCACTGACAGATT